ATGTTCTGCTGTGCGCCGGATACCTTGGCAAGGCTTTTACTGACTGCCGCAGGTCAAGGTTGTCGTACTTGTCGTAACACGTACTTGAAACGAGTGACCGACAGATTTGGACTCGCTGACGCCTGTCGACACGCTCATCTTGTTAACATCAGCTTTACTTTGGAGCGTGCCGGTGTAAGACGTATTATGTCCTTGCTAGCGAAACAGTTGCAGTTGCCAAGGGAATAAAACATAAACAGGTAAGATCAAGCATACCATGGGACCACAATATGCTGCAAGTCAGCTTAATGTCTATAGGGATGGGGGCGAGCCGGGTCCCCGAAATTTTGATAACTCTCCCCACGGCAATGAAGATTTTAAGCGGGGAATCCTTGAAATAGACCTAGCTAGATGCGAGGAAAAGAAAAACACAGTTGAATACACCGGCGCATTATTTGAAGTTTTAATGGAGATCGTGGAAGCTGTTAGCATTTCTGCCTGAAAGCACCTTGTTGCGCCCGTAAGGCGACGAAAGATTTTCTGACTCAGCAGGTGAAATACTCATACAGACACGAAGGAGATCAGACTTACGGGAGGTATGCATAGCGTGCAAGGTCAGGCGGGAGGTGTGACAAGAAGCAAAGGTTTGGCAAGCAATGCTGCTCAGTAGAGCCAGATGTATTAAGTAAAGTATGAAACCCACACGGTATTTCTTGAAATCACAATCACTTAATACGAAAGCTTATTGCTGATCACAGTCGGGAAGTAACGGGCCAAGCTAATATTATGAATGCCTGCGACCAGCACTTCGACAGACTACACAACCAGCAGGCAAGACGATCATTTGATCTAGGGTGCGTTTGAAGGATTTTTCAATGACCTAGACAGCCAAAGGCTGACAGGCCTAGACAAATATAGCATAAGTACGAGGAATCCCTACCTAATGCAGAATGTCGCGCTGCACTCAAGTTTATGGCTGGTAACAAGGCACCTGGTAAGTCAGGTCTCACAGAAGAGTTTTATCTGCTTCTGGGAAAGCATATGCTCACCTGCAGAGGAGTACGTTAACTTCACTTACCAAAAAGGTGATTTTTTGTAGCGTAGAGAAAAGGCCACGTCGCGCTGCTGCTGAAAAAGGTGGCCAGAGAGTACTTGCAAACAAGAGACACATCATTCTTCTTAACATTCTTTAAGAAATCATTCCGACGACGTTTGCCCAAAGGCTCGCGCAAGTTCTTGATCGCTGATAGCACCAGATCAGACCGGTTTAGCGTCAGAAAGAAATATTTCAGACAATTTGAGGGACTTATATCCGAAATTATGTTCTGTTGTAAGAATCATAGTTTGCCAGGTATTCTGATGAACCTTGATTATGCGTCTGCCTCCGATCCCATCGAGCATAATTTTCTCTGCAAAATACTTGGGCTGTTCACCATTGAAAAATCGTTCGTTCGATAGATAAAACTATTGCACTGGAGCGCAGGACTGCCGACCATAAACAACGGTCACCCGTCTGAATAGTTCAACCCAACCAGAACAGCAAAACAAGACTGTATTATGTCTGGCTTGTTATTCGCTCTGGCGGTGGAAACCTTTGCGTACAAACTTCGCGCGCACGAAGATGTAGTGGGAGAGCAGATAAATGGTTTTGAGATGGAGGTGTCTCAATATGCCGATGATGCGACCTTATTTGCGCGGGACCCTGACCCAGAACGCATGACGGTAGCCTTGCTAAGGGGCTCGGGAAATATCCGGTTTACTCCTCAACGTATCGAACACCGAGTTTGTTTGGTTGGGAAGATACCGAATAAAGGGTTATTCAATTTGTTGCGCAGCACCTAAGACGAAATTTACATCTGTCGAGGTGATATTTTACCGAAGCGATCAACTGTTTACAGGATAACATAGACCCACGAGTTTGCCGCACGAGAAACATAATGCATATGTGGGAGGAAAGAGACTTCAGCTTGAAGGTCATAAAAACACCCACTGAATCACTAATGGCTGCCCAGTTTTCCTTTTCGACACCTGTGGTCATTTGGCGCGATCCTTGATAGCTGGGAGCTTTCCGGCCTCCTGTGGAGGAGTAGACCACCGAAGGTAAAAAAGACGTATTTTGCCGGGCAATAAACCGGGGTGACATACGCGCAGTGAGTCTCATAAACCAAAACAAAATTTCGGAAGGGTACTTGATAACAAGACAAAATTTGAACATGGCGGGCGCACTCGTCCGATTTTACTTCCCTCTAGATATGTACTGTGCAAGGTACCTCAAGGGTTCTCTGTACACGAAAAGCCTGCAGAGGCTAGCTGAAGTCTCTGCGACCAGGACTGTCTTGCACAGGTTGCACGCACGTATGCTTGCATGTCCCAAGGGACCACGACACCTGTCACAATGCGTGATGGACAGAAAGGAAGGTACTTGATAACGTTCTATCGTGAATGTCACGTCTGAGTGATGGCTCCATGATTGTTTGTGAATAAATTTGCATGCATCACGTCCTAGACTGATATAACTAATTTTGGTTTTGATTTAGAATCAAAGCAGTTACTGGCAAACGAAATGTAACCCGTTTTTGGGCAGGAACACAAGGCAGCTCAAGTTTCCTTGTTTTAAGCATCGCACACACACCGGTCCAATACTTCAGATTTTAAAGAGTAGCGCTTCACTTCTGTATGAGGTCACACGCGCCAATAACACTACCGAGACTACTAATGTACCAAAGCAGTCCGACTGTCGCGTACTTAAATGTGAGTGATTGATTATGACCTAGGTCCTAAGCCTCTCAGTTTTTAGAGCCCCAACGCCATTAGTCAGGTGACAACAAGACCAAGTTGACACAACAAGCCCTGGCCACTCGGGATTTATTTGGAGTATGACGTCATCACGATTGCTGGCAAACAGGGTCGAAATTACTTAACCTCGCAGAGGTCACTAAACCTTCCATAACCTTGCAGAGGTCACTAAACGAACGCTAGTAAGACACGAAGAGACGCTTAGTATATTCCTATGAAGCGTACTTCTGGCAAAGATACGCGTTATTTGTGCTTTTTAAGCAAAACGTCCCCAACCCGGCACCACGAAAGAGGTCATGGATGACATACCATCATGCTCAGAAACTTCAAATATTCATAAGATGTGTGAAAATGATTAGAACTTAGGTGTCGTATGCTAGGTGACGCAAACAAGCAATGCCAGGATCATCCACCACAACATTCAGATGCTATTCTGGAAACTTTAGGCGAGAGTTAGCATTCGGTTGCATGATGCTGTTTTTACAGCCTGTATTCCTCCAGGTTCACATGGTGAGTTCGTTCCGGGCCGATCCGCACTGGCACGACTGCCCGCACAACTGCCGGCTCAGATGAAAGGTACATAAGTTAGAGCTCGACAAACTGGATGTCCACCAGTATGTATGGTCCACAAACAACTTTAATGTACCATGAGTGTTCTAGTAACACACGTTAGTTGTTAATGTCCAAACTTAGTGCTGCGACACGCTCACTTTGTATTTCGCTGGAGTTGGTAACTGCACTTACGTGTTCGATAGCAGACAAACACTAGACAATTTCACCTGAGATCGGTCCATTGACACAACAGCATGGCCCATGGCGAAATGCTTATGATCCTTTGACACCGAAGTCAAGTCCCGAAGAGAGATAAATTGCAGCGTAGTATGGGGCGTCACTGACATGGGAATCAAATGGGCCCATGTTGAAAACAGCAACACGTGATAACATTGCAGAATTTGGACTGAAAGGCCTGTTATGCAGCATATTTTGCAAGATTTAGGAGTGAACACCGCAATTTTCTGCCAATGTGCACGGGAAAGTAAGTTCAGCTGCGCTCATTGCTATATTTCACCCTCGCCCTACAAGTTGGGCTCCAAAAGTCCCCTAAGGTTTTTCCGGAATAACTTCTGAATAACTTTCAGCATGGTGCTAAAAGTCTGGTGGCCTGGCTTACATCCCTTAAACGCAGGCGTAAATTTGGAGTTTATTGATGTATATATATATATATATATGTGCACCTACACCTGACCCTCCCTCTCTCTCTCTATCCTTCTTTTTTTAGATTACAATTATCAAGCAAGTCATTGATAGTTTAATACGATGCTACTTGATGTATACATCAATATTCGATCTCCGAAGTCGATCCAAATACCGAGCCAATATTATGTTCTGAAGCATACGAAAGTGCAACGTACTCTTACTTAACGAGCAGCGTCAGGTGCGGCGAAATACAAAGCGCCACTCTTTTTCGCTTCACAGCTTATTTTTCTGAATTTACAGCAAAAAAAAAATCCCTCCACCACTAGCATTCAAGTCAATTCCAATTTCTACCCCTGGTGTGAAACACGCTCTAGAGATTAGTTCTAGCATCACAGGCATGGGGCATGTTTTGCTACTAAGTTCTCTTTTTTCAAATTGGTTTGAAACTGCACCGATGCAAACTCGATAGAATGTGATAGACGATAGTTAAGAGCTGTTGAGCCGGAAATGTAAGGAATTGAAGGGCAAGTAAAATGATTCAGTTGAGGTGTTTTGAATCAACAATTATTGCTTAAAGGAATGGTGAGACAAAGTAGGCGTTAGATCGCTTGCTGCATTCGAACCGGACAGAGTGAAGGATGATTGCATTCGAAGTGCCCTTTGCATGAGAAGTTTAAAAACGCTAGATTTAAAACCCATATTTCAATCCTGTCCGGGAGACAGTGATGGCTTGGGTATGGATTCTCGCCAAGGGGCCGGCTCAACCATCTGCGCAACGATTTCTTCGCCCCGTGCCCCGCCGAACACCTGCTCCGTGGCCATTGCAACTGCGCCATGATGTCACCTGCTGGCCAGTATTAACTCGGCAGTCATAAATAACCCCGATAACAACTGGCCAGCGGCCGGCGGCCGGCGGGCCGGGCGGCTCCTGGCGACGGTCGCCAGAGCCGCCTGGCGGCGGCCCGCCAGCAACGGCGACGGCAGCGGGCGGCGGCGCCGTCACCGCCAGTCGGACGGCGCCGCTGAGGTCGCGGGGAGGGAGGAGGCCGCCGGCCGCGCGCCGCGACGCAGGCCGGTGTAGGTGACGGTGCTCGCGCCCGGAGAAGCGTCAGACGAGCCGCACTGGACGGCACGACGCGCCCCGGCGGCGGCGATGGCGCGGTGAGGTAGGTCGCGGCGCCCGCGGGGCTCATGCTCGCCAAGCTGAAGCCTGCAGGGCTGGGTCTTTGCTCCTCTCTTTGGCGGTGAGCCCAAACTTTGAGCGTAGGAATGAGTGACCATGGAATTGGTCTGATGTGCCCAAGGGCTTGATTTAATGGAATAGATGAGCGTGCACCCTGGCGAGTGATCCCCAGTATGCTTATCAAAACACAGTTGCTAAAATATGTTGCTGAAACACAGTTGCTATTGCTATATGCTTTCTAAAAGCGCAAAAATCCAGAGTGTTCTTTAGGAGTGAAGCAGGTAAATATTCAACTTAAACGATAAAAACGTCTCTTTACCACGGGAGCACAGTGTCTGGCACTGTGTGTGTAGCACGGGAACACAGTGCCAGTCCCCTCGCTTCACTATCACCCGGCCGCCAAACTTCTCGAGCACTTGTGGTCTTGCCTCTCGAGCTCGAGAAACCCGCCCGCTAAAATGGACGTACCAGATCGCGGGGCACTGCACGCCCCACCCTACGACTGGTCTCAAGCCAGCTCGACCGATGGCGGCTACTTGAGGGTCCACTCGGCATTATTTTGCTAAAGCTTCCTTTCCACAAGTTAGAGATCATAAATGCCACCATCAAGCCATCAGCCCTGATTCCGCGATTTGCGGGTTGTTTTGAAATGCCGATAGCCCGATTTCATAGTCCATTGGACCAAACGAGATATATGAAGTGAGCAGCTATTACAAGCCATGATTGTGGAAAATCTGCTCAAGTACATTAAAAGCGTCACCCAATCGTCACCAACGAGCTCAATGTTTAAAAGCTTTAATCCGAAGGCTTTCAGCGGATTCTGGGGGCTAACGCCTGGCAGTACTTCTGTGACCAGTACCTCTCGGTCACGTATTTCCTGGGCAATAGTATAATTTTGCTGCGAAAACTCAGCGTGGTCAGCTCGTTTCACCGTCCGACTTCACCTGACCTTAGCGCAGCCATTATCACCGGCCGCAGACAACATCTGTCAGGGGTAAACGGGGAGCGCATGAAGCGACTCGAACCCACCCCGCCAAGGGTCGGTGAATCGGAAACCCAGCGCTCTAACGAACTGAGCTATCAGAGCGGCAATGTGACGGGCCGGGCAATTACACTGGAATGTCTGGAGATGAAGTCCCCGATCCTGCTCGCGAGGAGAGCTCCAAGCGGCTTTTCAACTAGTGTCCCTCTGTCTGGACATCAGCTGAAAAAACAACGATCATAGTCATTGACTCGAAACTGCTGACGGAAAATGCCGAAAATAAACTGGATTGCATACATGTCACACGCATAATGGTTTATCCTGAAATGTTTTCAAAAATACCATTACGTTCTAAGTGTCATCTTCCCTACAAGTGACTGATGGAAAATATGATCTTTCCGCTATAGAGATTATAGGCAATGCTTCGGTGAGCGGCTTGCACTATTATAAGGAGCTGGACCTGATACAAAGTCGGTTTCAATTGAGATTGGGGCAAAGAAAGTACGCCACTGCCTCAGTGATGTCGGGTTCAGTGAGGCTTTGCTGCAGATAAATTTTTTTTTTGAGAATCATAACTTAAATCTCTTTTTATAAAGAATGATATTAGAGAATTTCTGCCGTGGCGAATCCGTTAACAGAAATGTTGCTCGAAGCGAAACAAGCAAGGATGATTTGAAACACCGATTCCTGAACGATGGCCGCAACAACATATGGTGGTGTTGTTCTTTCATGGAAGGACATAAATACAGCTTGCTATTTGCATCGATGCAATGACATGAAATGATGAGCTGTGACCAGCCTGGCATGATACACGTTAAAACTAGGCTAACATTGCAAGAAGTTCTGCGGCATATATGCGTGCACGTATACAAAAAAGCCAGATTTACCGCTTATAAATACAAAACATACATGCATGTAGAACAAAGTAGTTTAAACCTTTCACATTTATAGTTAGGTAAAGAAACATGGCGAGACAGTATTTTCAGCCACCGAAATATGCAATCGTTTACTAACCTCATTGAATTCTCGTCCTGACTTAAAGGGTAAGTTGAATATAAGTGCCTCATGGGGAAATGAAAGTGAGGGTCTACATGCTGTGAATAAGCTCGTATATTAACATACCTGTATTTTATGAGTATGTATGGGTGGCCCGCCTTTTACTTGGTCACAAAGCGCATAGCTGTGACATAGCTATACATTCGGTACAATACCTAGGGCGCGTTCTTTCGTTATAATCTTGGGTTGTTCCAGAATCCCGTGATTACATAAAATGCAATGTAATCTCGGCATCCCAGGATTAGAAACTGTTACCCTAGCACCTAGCACCAGGACACCCAGAACTGCTATCCCTCGCAGGGGTCTACATGAGTACCAGATACTGATGTCTATCCACGCAAACAGTAAAACACTCTCCGTTTTTCATCAGCGATGCCAATCGTGCGTTGATGTTAACAAATTCATCACACATTCTCCCAAACGCACACATGACCGATACAAATCTATCATTTATTGCGCAAGATGATGCATTCAAATAGCATATAACGAGCCATATCTTTCACTACCACTCAACGCCATCATAACTCATTAGCCGTACGGAAAGAAGACAGTTTCGTGCTTATGGTACGGTCGGAAACACAGCTGTCTTTATCTCAGTTAGTGCGTCTCTATCCACAGCTGTTTGCCAGATGTGCATCACAACACCAAGCGAAACAAATAAGGCTGAGGGCTGAAACAGATGCGATAGAGGACCGGAAAGTTGGACAGCAAAACAGTTCAATGCGCTTGTGCAAGCAGCCGGAAGAAAATTCGCTTCATCAGCATGCACCACTGATGACTCGAAACAGCTTTGGTTTACTCGTTGACTAAGCAGGGTACTAGCGATATATGAACCGGTAAGCACTTTCCGCATTATCTCCTGCAGCAGCAGTCCACATGCGGTACAGCTGAGATCATTTTAACGCATAACATCACAACCCAATGGCGAAACCGACTCTCGCTTCTTACGGAGCAGCTGCTTAAATGCGAGGGAATGAATTGCAGACAAACGTCTCCTGTAATGTTTGCACGCATGCTGTTCTAGCTCCAACGCGTCACGTTTATTTGCGCAGCGTTGCAGACGACATTTACACCTGTCTTTCACCATTCGATCACCAGTCTATCACCATTCGATCATCAGGCTATCACCATTCGATCACCAGGCTATCACCATTCGATCACCAGGCTATCACCATTCGATCACCAGGCTATCACCATTCGATCACCAGGCTATCACCATTCGATCACCAGGCTATCACCATTCGATCACCAGTTTATCACCAGTCGAGCTGGGACGAGGCAGGAAAATCCAGCTCTCATTTACAGTGGTCATTCGGGGAGCAGCTCGACCTCGTTAGACATGAGCTACGGAAGTCGGTTGTCAATCAGCTGGTTACCCAGCAGGATCCAGTTATCTAGTTCACTGTAGCCAAGCAGGGCTTGCAGCGATAGTTGAACTCATGCTCCAGCACCAGTGAGCAGGAAACCAAAGGTTAACGGCTCTTCCAATCAGACCGATATGGTTTTTCTGCTGTTAACTGGGGCGTAATGCTTTCCGTTCAGCATTTACTGACGATGGTACCAACTGGAGCAAACATGCGCTTTGACGCTGAGTGGCACACAACCTCACATTGCCTTACATTGTTTTTTCCGTCTGTGGTCTGCTTGGCTGCGGTCTATGGAACACCAGACTTTACCCTTCACGAAAAGTGCGACGGCCTGTCGCCACTGTATGATCTCATTGTCTCCATCGACCGTAACGAGCGTCACAACTTGCGCAGCAGTTCATCTTCTCTTGAAAGAAAATAACGATTCTAAAGCATACACTGCATTCAAAGAACGGAGCATCACATTAAAGTCTGACGGACCGTTGATTGACAGGCTTCGGAGTTCACCGTTTGATGAAGCACAGGCTAACTCTTGCCACCACGCCACGTAGTTCCTTAGTTTGGCAATTAACGCACATATTCCAGCGCCAGTTTCCGACGGGAAGCAAAGTTCGGGTTCTTGTCAGGCTGAGATCAGGGCTTTAAAACTTTTGCCGAATGCGGAGTGGCGGCCACGAATCATCGTGCTAAAAAAGCCTCGAGAAGCACAACCCAGAGATCCCAGGCACAGGGAAAGGCTGTTCACTCACTGCACTGCTCTTCAGCAGCCGCCGTAGATCGTTAGTAATGATGAATGATGACCGGCACAGAAAAGAGGGTTGTGAGTAAGGCCTACTTTAAATCGAGTCACAACGCATTGCGCGAGCTGACAATCACATTGTTTCGGCGCCAGGCCACGCCCCCGCACTGAGCACAGACCCTCTCATTCCGTAGTGCAATCACTGAGCACAGGATCTCTCACCCCGCAGTGTAATCATTGAGCGCAGGCCCTCCCAACCGCCGTACAATTACTGAGCACAGGCATACAATCACTAAACACAGGCCTTCTCACCGCGCTGTGCAATCACTGAGCACAAGCTCTCTCAGCCCGCAGCGAAATCACTGAACACGGACCCTCTCACCCCGCAGTGCAATCATTGAGTGCAGACCCTCTCACCGCGCAGTGCAATCACTGAGCACAGGCCCCCTCACTCCGCAGTGCAATCACTGAGCACAGGCCCTCTCAACCCGCAGTGCATTCACTGAGGGCAGACCTTCTCACCCCGCCGTGCAATCACGGAGCACGGGCCTTCTCACCCCGCAGCGCAATCGCTGAGCACGGCCCTCTCACCCCGCAGTGCAAGCACCGCCGAGCGCCATTCTCAGCGGCATTTCGTTTGCTCCTTGCCGACCAAAACAGAACGGCGTACATTATTTGTTTACCGCGGCCAGGCGGGCTATCTGCCTCCAGGGCCATCTTGCACTGCATCCGCCGACGGCCAACAGCGGCGGCAGACCGGCGCCTCGCGCGCGGGTCACTACCCGCCGCTCGCACGGCCGGTCGGTGGGGGGGGGGGGGGCGGCAGACTGGCGCCCTGC